GCGACAAAATTGATGTTTAATGGCACCACTGAATTCAGCGTTGAAAAATATTGAGAAAATTTAACTTGCGTTTTTTCGCTACGACTCTTCATTTACGATATAATTGGGACTAATAGGGGTTATAATGAGGCCCTCAGGGAAAGCGCTTGTGGATAGAAAGTTATACCGCAAAAACGTCTTTTTTGGACTCAGGGAATCGACTCCTTCAATATTCGTACTTAATTTTGGGTCACCCTGTATAAGGATTAAGGAATAACTCTCGGTAAACGATGGACTCCGTAACGAGGTAAGAGCGAAAGTGCGTTCTGAGATTCGATCACTTCTCACGCTTCATCTTGGGGCTTTACTTTTTTCCCCGCTTATTTTCTTTTCCGAGATACACCGGTGAAAGCCATTCTCTCTTATGAAACTAATTTTTAAAAAGAAAAAAAAAATATGGTATTGTGGCAAAAAAACAAGCTGTACAAATACGAAAAAGAAGAGTGGTTGTCGTTCCCATTTTTGGCCCATTCGGTTATTACAACGGAGCCTCGGCTTCACTTGATGGGGTGAACAAAAGATAACGTTACTCGGTTCAAATTCTGATCATACTGTAGAATATTCAAAATTTCTTCATAGGTATTTACAATTTCGGTGAAAAATTCCCGTGTTCATTCAAAATTGTTGCACTGGAAAATAAATAAATAAATAAATAAATAAAAAATCTCTTGGATCCAGACCAGGCAGACCAGACCAGGGTGTCTAGATTTTTATTCATTTTGGTAAATCCCGATGAAATCCCGATTTTTGAATGCTAAATCCTGATTTCATAATTTTTCCAAATCCTGATTTTTTGCGGAGAAAAATTAAAATTTCTGCATAAGCGTATGCGAAAGCAGTCCGATCGGACGGCCGAATTTTCTCAAATCCTGATGAAATTGGGATTGAATCCTGATACAATTGGGGAAAATCGGGAAAATCCGTATGCCAGAAGCCCTGAAGACTCTTAAAAAATTTGACTAGAAAAAATACTCGTGATTCAATCGGATTTTTGCTGGAATCCAGAGCCAAGCCTCTTAATATAAGCGGATTTTCATTTGAATCAAGCAAAAATCCGATTGAATCAAGGATCTTTATGCTCATCAATTTTTTAAAGAGTGTGGACTCTCGACCCAAGAGACTTCTTTTATTTTTTTTACTTATTTCCAGTGCCGTTTACGAGCAAACCGTTTGAAATTACTGAGAGGGGGTGAATTCTTACTTTCTTTCGTCACCGAGTCCTCCACCCATGATATCGTCACGTACTCACGTTCACGTACGCTACGTTCAGCCCCACCCACCCCTTCGAAAATTCCGCTCTCTACTGGGTGCGTCGCGTCGACGGCGAACGTGGCGGAGTATCGATTCGATCTACATAGCCGTCCGATATAGGTGCCGTTACGTTATTACGGTATGTCATCTACGGAGCGTATGCGCGCCACGCCGCGGTCCGTAATGATACGTCTGCCGTCTCTTCCTCTTTAGGTGCTCGTGAACCGAATTCGCCACAACTCACCGGGACAGATCCGACGGGTCACTTTGAGGCCGGGCCTAAGTTCAGGGTTGCCACAGAATTTAGAAAATGAAATTCCCTGACATTTCCCTGACACATTTTGGTGGAGTTCCCTGACAACTGATGTGACGGATGGTTAAGAAGGCATAATTAAAAAATGTTTTCAGGCAAAAGTTGTTCAAAACCTCAAACCTATTGTAGAAAGCAAATGAAGATGATTTAACCAATTTTCCCTGATATTTTCGTCATTTTCCCGGTTTTCCCTGACTGTGGCAACCCTGTAAGCTGCCGTGCTAAGGAAAAACGCCGTATGAGCCTTCAGGCGTTGCCAGATTCCCTTCAACAAAAACCGATTTTACTGGACGTTTTTGGAATGTTTGGCTTCAAATTTTTCAGACGATTTTGTTCGCAACTTGATCTAAAGTACCTAAATATTTCAAGGAAAAATGTGAGTAACTTTCCTTGTAAAAAAAATACATGATTCATCTGGGGAAATTTGGCAACTATCGAAAGTTCATACGGCGTTTTTGCTTAGCACGGCAGTAAGTGCATGTGCAGATCCCGTTTCACTTCCGCATTCAAAGCACTCCGGATTTTTGGGCGCTGTATGTATAGAGTCCGGCACAAAATCTCACTCCAAAACTTTTAACAATGTGGGTTTTTTGTTTTGTTTTTGTTTTGCTTTATACACTGGAATTAATTTCTGAGTTTAACATAAAAGAAATCATTATCGCTACAACATGAGTTACGTGATTTAATCCTTCAAGATGCGCATCTAAGTAATCCATTTCTCCCTAAATTGACATTGCATGCCGTGTTCATGTGCATGTCTTCAAAACTTCAGTGTTAGGGATGAGTGAGTTGCGCGTGACACAGAAACGTGTTCTGAGGGTTAAATCTTAAAGTTACCAAAAAGTTAATTAGCTTAGTCCAAACTCGACGTTTTTTTTTTGCATTACATGTTAAAAGGATACAGACCTTTCGAAAACAAGGCGGATGTATTAGGTCATTAAATCGCGTGCGCCTTGCATATCATACTACCACGGTTTCCTTCATCACAGTCTCATTAATGATGAGCATGAAGCAATCGATGCACACTTCGTTCATCAGTGGAACCAATGCACGGAAAACATCTCACTCAGGGTTAAACTCAGACTCATTGGATACTGACATTCTTCGTCCTTTGCCAAAAGGCGATAACTTCATTAACTGGCTATGGGAACTTCCCGTTTCAGTGGATCTCATTATTTTTTTAAGTGAACTTACACAATATTTTTAATGCTCAATATAAGGAACCGTGATACACGCAACCGGCCGGAGCTTTCCTACATAAATTATCGATCCTCTGATAATTTGGTATGTATCGTTTTGGATCTTGGGTGCCTTTAACTCTGCAGGAAGAGCGAAGGATACGTATGACAGAAGAACAATTTCCGACGAGTTTTCAATTTTTCACGCATTTTTCTCAAAACCACCCCTTTGTCATTAAACTTCTTCGTATACGATATTTTTCGATAGGAAATTTGCACGAAAAATGTTTGATGTTTCATCCGAGAGAGCTTAATGAGCTGAGTCCCCAATATTTTTTATAATTCTTTTCTGATACGAGATATCGTAGGTGGTAGTAGTGGAATAGCTTTAAAAATGAGAAAATACACTGCCTCAAATTCTCCATTGCAGTTCCCATGGTGAACGTACCGAATGAACGACATTCAAAATGCAAAAATTGTATTACGATTGTACATATTCGTCATTGGGGAATAACATTATTGGCTCGGAGTCAGTTCCAATTCAATTATCATCCGAGCCCTGCATTGCCGAGGTCAAGACCACGACTATTGTAGCCGAAAAACTACGCGGCAATTCTCCGCGAGGGATGATGACGTCAGCGGAGAGCTTGTCGGAGTCTCTGTGTCTGCCGGAGACACGGTCGGACTGACACAGTTACGAAAAGCTCGGAAGCGGAGGTCGAAGTAAAGCAACAAGCTGGCTGGGGGAGGATAAGCCTAGTCGAAGCTCGGAGCTATGGGCTCGTTATTTTATGAGCCCTGAAGTCTCCGGGCATGCTAACGAGAGGCGGCTCATCGGAGAATAGAGATTTTACATTACGGCATCGACCGGAACATTTGACCTTAAGTGCCAGATTGTGCCGGCTCGACCCCCGAACGAGCCCTCTCTCCCCCGAAACGAACCCCCTACCCCTCCGCCCACGGCCGTCCCAACCGCCACTGCCTGGCACCAAAGCCCGGAATTGCCGCGAATTATTATCATTCAAATCCATCCTTGAAATGATTCGCTCCGATCCATATTTTAGAACAAAGTCCGTTTGTTATGTGAATCACTAAATACAAAAAGAGCACATGTCCAGAAAACCAAATTGTTCAGGAGACACAAAAAACTGTTTATTTCGTGGTAGATATTTTTCGGAAACAGTTTTTTGTGTCTCCTGAACAATTTGGTTTTCTGGACATGTGCCCTTTTTGTATTTAGTGATTCATGTACGAGGAGGTAATGATCGGCTTAACGCAATAAATTTAAGTCAAAATGTTCATTTCTGGGCGAGGAAGAAGAATATTCAACGGATGATAAGGAAGTTTTTAACGGAGAGCGGACCAAAGAGTTCTTGAAATCTTCTTACAAAATATCGCGGTTGTATCTCCGTTGAAAAACTTCGTATGTATGCGATTCAGGTTCGAGTTTTTCAAAAAAGTAATTTAATTTAAAGGTGAAGTATTAGTTCTTCGTACTAGGTATAATTCAATTTCATGGAGCCTTCAACAATCTTGATAATTTAAAAACAATGATAATCTTACTTTAGTGTGAATCAGTGCGTTTACAAAGGGCGGAGGTCCAATTTTCCAAAATCAATTTTTTTTTGCATTTTTGACGCTCTTTCTACGTGACAATCGCGTTCCGAGAAGCGAACTACCGCTGCTTTCTCGGGTTAAATGTCAATGACACCTGGAGAGTTGAAAATTCATAAATAAAAGATTTGAAAAATGGACTTCCGCCCCCTTCAGAAAGTACTGATTCAATTTTCTTTCCCTTTCGAGTCTTAATTGAAAGCTTTAAGGTTATTGAATCGAAATGAATCCGCGAACACTAATAGTTTTGCAAAAAGAGCTCCTATAAAGCTTCTAAGTCTCATTTTCTTAGGTATTAATAAAATAAAAGAAGAGTAACATACGATTTAAGATAACGACGGAAGTATACGAATCATGGTACAGCGAAACGCATGTTTATCCGTTTAACAATACAAATTTGAGATATTCTTTTAGAAAAATGCTTTCAAATACATTTTTCCTCAGTTCGCGGCATTATGTTGTATTTCAGGAAGATTTTCGAAGTTTAAATCGTAAAACAGAGAAAATAATTGCAGCTCATCATACTCGTGGAATAGTCGAAAAATTACTCTGCATGCGCTCATTTTTTTCAAGGAATGAACTGATAACGAAAGTTCGGTTCTTACCTGTAAGGAGGAGGTGTACGGCCACGTTATCACGGAGAACTTCATTAAGACACCTGTAAAACACAAAGTACACACTAGTTAATGCCTTTGTAAAACTGGAAAACGATGCAAATCTAAGTAAAAAGCGATGGAGAAGATCAAATAAGAGAAATAACGAATTCGGGAACGCGAACCGTAGCCAGCCGAGAGCTCTATGACGGACACACAACAACTGACGAGCGACGACCGTGTGTTCAAATAATTGTACTAAACTGGTGTCAGTATAACTGATCATACGAAACATGATTTTCCAAAAATTCTGAGTCAAAGGGATTGGGATATCTGACTCATTGTTGAACCAGAGACAGTTGGTGGTGAGTCACGGTGTTAATACGGGAGTAAGATAACTCGGGCTGAGATAATTCCGGATGCATTTGCCGGAAAATCGCCACTTAGGATGCGGAAACATTTAACAACGATAGAGTTGAAAGTGGTCCACATTTTGCATTTTGCATTTTGCATTTCTTGTTCATTTCAGAAACAACTTACATGCAGAAAGGTGATTTCACGGAAGGGCTTTGAGATAGTGGTTTCTTATTGCAAAATTTAATCCAAATATTCTCAGGATCGGAATTCCGAAACCAGCAGGACTTTTATAGGAATTATTGTAAAGGAAACTCTAGTCTTTAAACCTATGGTAAAGAAACGTGGACAACACTAATATTCGAGAAATTTTGCAGGGTTATAGAACTTGTGAATCGCTGCTTTGGTCACAGAATTGTATATACAACACCTATAAATCAGCACATGATACTAGGTTCGATTCCGACTCAAAATTCTGCGTTCGATATAGTGTCCAGGGCCGGATTAAGTGGGTGGCCACATGGGCCGCGGCCCATAGCGGCAAATCTAGAGGGCGGCAAATTTTGCAATTTTTTTAAATGTAGGTATAAAAAAATATAGGTTTTAGAAAAAAAAAATTACAAACGAGAAAAGGCGACAGAATCTCTCATTTCCTGAGAGTGTAGTAATTTTTAATTTTGTCGTCTTTCAGTGATACAAGAGACAGCACCTTTAATTAGTCGAGTTAAGAGAGAAACCAAACACGCAATTTGGCCTGGAACGGCGCGGCGCAGAAAGCAATGATGACGAGGACTTGTGATGAAAAGGAGAAGCGATTGGCGCGGCGATCGGCATGTAATACATATCAGCGCCTACAAGACTGCACGAATACTTCACGCATTGCATCAAACACAGTGCGGTCATGGCGGTCAGCGTGAAACGGATAGCGCCTACAAGAATGCATGAATACTTCACGCATTGCGCCAAACACAGTGCGGTCAGCGGGAAACGCATGGCGCCTACAAGACTGCGTGAATACTTCACGCATTGCGGCAAACACGGTGCGGTCTGCGCCGCGCGGCGACGGAAGTTAAAATCATTAAACCACATTCATGTTTGTTCTTTCATATTTTTTCGTTCATTTCCTATGAATGGAAGGCCTTGTCCACACAGAGATAGGTTTACAAAACTTAACTTTTGCTAGTAAGGTTGACAGGGCATCCCCAAAAAATGTGTTCAACACGTGTAAACGCGTCTTATGCACCTCTTCCCCGCTGGCACATTCACTTGATAGTTTTTATTGATGTTTCAATACGAATGAGAAGGGGGCGGCAAAATACAGGCGGCCCATGGGCGGCAAGTATGTAAATCCGGCCCTGATAGAGTCTACGTCATTCATTGCAATATCCACTGCTCTTCAAGAGTTTGGTGCCACATAGGCTTTTAGGGCTTGAGTTGGCCTTTAAAAGGCAACCTGACGTAAAATATTCATCAATGTTTTAAAAAATTAACCTCTTCACTGTCGCGTCAAGTCAATTGAACTTCCTACGAAGACTGGAGACTGGTTGTGAGATCAGACTTCGTTTTCTAAAAGTAACAGAGCGATATTAAACCCGCGATTGGGGTGGATCGAATAAGTTTTCAGGCTAGACGGAAAGGAGCAACGAAATTTAATTTTCTGTCTTACTTCCTGGCTACTATTTCCTATGGGCGCGGGAACCAATCGTAAATGTTCCGCAGTTCCACCAGAATATAATGGCATCAATAAAGATAGGTATGATTATGCAACATTCCTCCGATTCGCGATATGGTGCAAAAAGGAACACTACTTTACACACTTAAAGGAGCTCAGATTAACGTTAAAAAATCACGTTGGTCAATGGTTGCTGATCAATGACAGGACCTATTATGATACGGTCGACAAAGTTCGAATCAGAGGCATTAGACAATGTTGTCACATTGTTTAATACAATTCAGATTGAAAAAATTGGAAAGATTTTACAGTACTTTTTCAGTACTTTCCCGAGAAATTCAGTACCTCCTCGACAGAAAAATTAAGTTCTTTTTCAGTACCTCCAATTGACGAAATAGAGAATTTGCAGGTGTCTGAAATTCGATGAATTCCGTATTTGAATGGACGCTACCGAGTGAGCTGAACACGAGGATACCCTTGATTTATAAATTGAACAATTATTGGAGGAGAAATGACAAAATTATCTATTCTGCTAAAATACATGCGTTTATATGGGAAATGCCGCCAGATGACGTCACTAGGCGGCGCATTTTCTCCCTTTCAAAGCTATTTTTATACTATTTCCCATAGCCGAAAAAAAATCATAAAAAATACTGCAAAACCAGCTCTTTAGGCACTTTCAGATGAAGCAATAAAAAATTTGCGTGCAAATTCTCCATTCGACAAATTGCGACAAAAATAACCATAAAATGAAAAAAGTTCCGGACCTTCTTGCGGCATTTCCGCACTTTTTCAGTACTTCCATACTGCTCTTAAAAAATTAGTACTATTTCCGGACTTTCTGGAACCTTCCGCGATACGAATTAGATATATACCTGGAGACTGAGGAAAATCTCTTAAGCGCATGATCTCCTAAAGTGAAATATTGGCAAATACGTACGGAAATCAGGCATGTCTGAACGCACGTAAGGTACTAACGTCTGATTTATCTGGCCGCCGCGTCGTAATATCGAAACAAATTCACGGATCGACGCGGGAAATAAAAATCAGAGTTAAACTGCCGGTAATAGCGGTTATTTGATGGTCCTCGAGCGTTCAACATTTAACAAAGCCTTTTACTATAAATGATCAAGAAAAAAGTGATAAAACAAAGATAAGACGCGGCGCGGCGTGGCGGGGGAGCTGTCGTATTCAGACCGTAGCGTTTTGTTTCAGCGCACGCCCGTTGACGCTGAGTGGGTAATTACGTCAGTGGGCTTTTACGGCCGGCCCCGCAGCTCTCAAATTGAATATTACCGCCGTTTTTATTGGCGTTTGGTTCGCGCGGAGGACCTGGGAGAAAATCGGGAACGCGGAAATGAACTCGGCTGATAAGGAGGACCCGGAACCGTGGAAACCAAGTGTGAAGCCGCGAGTTCCGAGCTTGGTATCTTCTGCTGTGATTCGCTATGAAAAACGTCGTAAGAGCATTCCAATGATGCTACATTTCCTCTCAATAATATTTATATTCGGAGAAAGTTGAGAATATTTTTCGTTGAAATTTTCGGACTTTTCAGATCAAATTACGAATGAAATGAATTGCACTTTGCAATAAAGAACCAATATTTCTGGCCAATTTTAGAAACAACATACATGACATTGGTTTCCCTATGCAAATATGTGCTTTTGTGTGAGAACCAGAGATAAGGGTTCCTTATTGCAAAATTTAATCCAAGTTCTCTAACAGGGTTGCGTTGCCACGGAATTTAGAAAATGAAATTCCCTGATATTTCCCCGATTTCCCAAACACATTTTGGTGGAATTTCCTGACAATTGAAGATGTGACGGATGGTTAAGAGGGCATGATTGAGAACAGTTTTCAGGCAAAATTTCTTGTTCAAAATCTCAAACCCATTCTGGAAGCAAATGAAGGTGATTTAACAATTTTTCCCTGACAATTCCCGGTTTTCCCTGATCTTTTTAAATCCCCTGACATTTCCCTGTTTTCCCTGACTGTTGCAACCCTGTCTGAAGAATTGAATGAAAAGTATTCACAAATTTTCCCGAAAATTCGTAACGTGTCGAAGGAAATTTGGCAAAGTCTGAAGGCTCATACGGCGTTTTTCCTTAGAACGGCAGTCTTGGCCGACTACTGTGTGACTGCGTGCGCGCGGCGCGGCATTCGGCATGGTGGTGGCGGAGGAGATGGTCATCAAAATGAGCAATTAAAGTTTTTGATAGGCCGTGAAAGCGGGCAGGATGTGAAAATACCCCGGCGAAACCAACTTGCGAGCTTATCACAATGACTTTCATTTGACGCTCACCTACATGTTTGAAAGGAACAAGCACGGAACAAGTGATAGAAGAGTCACGCAAAAGCGATAAACGCGGAATATTGCTCAACTAAATTATTTTTCTGAGTGTTACCATCAAATCGTCTAGTATAGAATTCTTGATTTTCTCTGTTCCCTGGCAAAACCCTGATTTTTCCTGATTTTCAGGGAAAAATTCCGTGACGAAAACGCAGGATTTCCACTTGCTTTCCTCCATACTTTAATTAAAGAGATGATTTTCCTCCAAAGTCTTCGGGGAAAATATCAGTCTCATCTTTCCTCTGATCCTTCGGAGCCGAATCAACGCATAACACCAATTTTAAGAATAATTTGATTTCAGAGCGGAGAAAGGAGTTCCTGATTTTTAGAATAAATGTCCTGACAAATACTCTGATTTTCCGAAAGTGTTTCACTCACCGATTAACCCCGGTAATTTCCAGTTTTCTAGGTTCCAGACACCATGCTTTAAATGGGTATGAAACCTTTTTTGGGATTCATGCGTGTGTAAGCTTTTTTCGTCATAAGCTCGTATAGAAGCTCTTAAGAATTTCCTGAGTTGAAGCTACTTGAGCTATTTCGGAGGATGGTATTCTTAATTTGATCTAAAGTGTTTGAAAATTTCGAGGAAAAATATTCATAGCTTTCTTTTAAAAAAGTATTTTTAAGGGGAAGTTTGACAACAGTCTGGATCATACGGCGGTCTTCCTTAGCACGGCAGAGCAGTTTA